GCGAAGCAATCGTGCCCCCCGCTTAAGGTGCCTAGCGACATCGTCGCTAATGATCCGAGGATGGTGTCCGGTTATAGCAATCTTGGAGATTACCTGCCCGACGATGTATATTATGATTTCATGAAGGTGCAGATACAAAGATACGAGTACGGGAAGCCTCTCGTCAAAGATGAAAGATCTCTATCAACGATGATGCGAAGATTGCATGATTGGTACTTGAAAATCTGTAGAGAGTCTGGGGGGAGGAGTACTTTGTATGTGAGAGTTAAAAAGGAGCATGACCTCATTGGAATTGATATGTTGCCTGTTCCATTTGAGGAGTTCTTTCAGTTTTTCAATCAATTAGCCCTCGATAAAGCAACGGTCACCTGCTACTGTCTGTAAGTAGTACTACTTCTATCATTAAGTCTCTCTATATAGCTCAGCTCTTTCATTGCATGTATTTATAATTATCCTCACTATATTATGCAGATTGAAGATCGTCGAATTGAAGAAACGACAAATCGGTGATATTGGGTTCATTAACACAAATATCATAGATGCAACTCAGGTTAAATTTCATGCCGCAGATACCGAGGCCAACTTGCTACGATCATTGGTAATAAATGAAAACAAAAATATAATACTCTTTTCTTACAACTTCAAGTGAGTGTTACTGTCTTGTGCGTATTCGGTTTCCCTTATATATTAGTCAAGGTTATAGTAATGTAATTGATGAGTTATGCATGCGTGTGCAGTTTCCACTATATTCTCCTAGAGATTAAGCTTGAGCAGGGACTAGTAACCGTCTTAGACTCAAGACAAAAAGATCCCCAGGACTATGCGGACATGACTCAAATGCTCGAGAAGTAAGTTAAATTGATCATTATCCACCATATCAGCAACTTTGTTTATTTCCTGATATATCAAGTAATTGTTTTCTTTGTCTGGCAGAGTTTGGAAAAAATTCACCAAAAAAGCTCCGGGACTCCCGAAGAAGCTGCAATTTAGACACCCGAAAGTAAGTACTATAGTAGCATGTTCCGCGCATCTCCTATTGATTCAAGCGCTAGTTTCATCAATACCATTTGGCATTCTTGCTTATCAGTTTGATTGACCTCTATTTCTTGTAAAGTGGTTGTGGCAGGAATAAGGAAATGATTTCTGTGGATACTACGTTTGCGAGTCCATCCGCCACACGACCTGTGAGCGGGGCTACTCTGACGAACAATATGAAGTGCGTAAATAACAACATTCACAATTTTATTTTATTACCATCATTTGTGTTGAGTTTCATTCATTCACACACACACACACACACACACACACACACACACACACATATATATATATATATATATATATATATGTATTGACCCCCTTCTTCAAATTAGATGTTTCGGAAGCGGGATGAACTCCTAGCACCAGCTTGCATGCGAGCAATTCAAGAGGAATTGGCGGCATTCTTTCTTGACCACGTGATCGCTGAAGACGGAGAATACTATGTGGACCATGAGTCCGTATGTTAGGAGATTATATTTGTAAGAGATAATTATTGTATATATGTAGCCGGTAGTGTCAGATAAATATACGAGAACTTGTTATTCGACCAATCTCTCGGAGAAGGAGAGGTGGTCGATATCACTTCTCTCTGTATGCATATATGTTCATGACGATCTTCTGTTTCCTTCGTTTGCTTACTAGCTAGCTAGCGTGTCTAGTCCTCTCTATACGTATGTATAGTACGTAGCGTCTACCAAGCACGGACATAAAAGAGGACACTTCTCTCTATTAATTATAGCTAGCTAACACAATATATGAAACACCTAAATTAACCCCCCAAAACCCCCAAACGCCCCCTCCCCCCTTTCAACAAAAAAACAAAACCCCCAGCCACAGAAATGCTGATGCGTGGATGCCTATTGGTCCCGGTTGGTGCCACCAACCGGGACCAAAGGCCCTCCTGCCTGGGCTCCACGCACAGGCCACGTGGAGGCCCATCTGTCCCGGTTCTGGATTGAACCGGGACTAAAGGGACAGGGCATTAGTACCGACCCTTTAGTCCCGGTTCAGGAACCGGGACAAAAGGCCCTTACGAACCGGGACAACAGACCCTTTTTCTACTAGTGGGAGTGCCCTATGACGTACGAATAATTCGGAGGAACGCTCATTTTTTTTCATTTTCACGGGTGACAAGGTGAGCAATTTATTTTAACTTTAGTGGCAGTTTCGATGAGAGACGAAGAATTCAAAAAAAAAAATCAACGAAGAGTTTTTGCACTTATGAGGGGGGGGTAGGTAATTTCAAGGCGGAAAAAAATCAAAGAAACAATTAACAAAGAGTTTTTTTCATTTACGAGTGACATAGTGGATAATTTACTTAAACTTTATGGATAGCTTAGCATTAGGATAGGTGGACGGATCAAAAAATCGGTGAAACACAATGTCCTTTACTATTAGGGGTATAAATATCTCAAATGATAACGCCCACACGTGTGACATGTTTGCACTCCGTCCACACGTGTTGATCCACGTTGATTCTGTTTTGCATGAATTTGAAAGAAATATGTCGGAATTTCAGTGTCACGTAGGCATAGCATGTTGTGTGGGTGTTAGAGCGCTCGTCCACACGACCCGCAGTGTGCGGTTGTTGATTACGCCATGTGGGCGAACCAGTTCCCGCCTACACAGACATCACCTAGTCCGCCCGCGTGTGGGGTGAACTTCTCTTCGCCCATACGACACTCGTACATTGCTAGATGCAACTGCAGTTGTGCGTATGTGGCAACCAGGTAAACACACATGGCAACTATGATTAACCACACATGACAACTATGGTTGGACCACACATGGCAACTGCAGTTGCGCGTACGTGGTAACCAGGTAAACACACATGGCAATTATGATTAACCATACATGACAACTATGGTTGGACCACACGTGGCAACTAGGTAAACAACATGGCAACTATTGTTTGACCACATGTGGCAAATAGTTAATCACACACGACAACTACCATAAATTAGACATGTCAACTATATTTAACCAAAAAGAGAGAGTTGCCATGCTTTTACAACTACATTTGCCATCCCAGATAACTAAAGTTGCCATCCCGGGGCAACTAAAGCGTCATCTCGGGGGTAACTAACGTAGCTACGGCAGGACGTGTGGGCATATTTGCTTCGAGCCACATGCGCGGGGTGGGGATGAGTAGTACTTGTTGAACGTGTGGCACGAAGTAGCTGCACCCACACGAGTGGGGAGCTCTAATGTTCGCCCACACATGACCCGTGTGAACTGCCTTCTGCTTACGCCACACACGGTGTGTGAGCGAATGTTTAATATGGCACACGTGTGGTGAATATCGGGACCCATAGATATAGTTTGATTTGATTTGAGTATGGGTAGGAAAACACAAAGAAAAGTTTGATTTAGCTGAGGTTTTGATAAGATTCAATTTGATTTGATTTGGATATAGGTAGAGAAGGGCAAGTAAAGTTTTAATTTTGATTTTGATTTTGGCAAGATTTGATTTGATTTGAGTATAGATAGGGGAAGACAAAGGAAATTTTTGATTTGCTTGATGTTTTGATAAGATTTGATTTGATTTGACTATGGCTAGAGAAGACAAGGGAAGTTTTGATTTAGTGTTAAGATTTTGATTTGGTTAAGTTTTTCCTTTGGTTAAGTTAATGCAGGACATGTTTGGAAAGAGCGAGGACCACAGATGAATGTACAAACATCAAATCAAGCAGCGAATCAACCTGTGGTTGAGTTGGTTAGGTGGACAGTGGTATCCCCAACCCATCAGGGTTCAAATCCTGGTGCTCGCATTATTCCTGGATTTATTTCAGGATTTCCGGTGATGCGCTTTCAGTGGGAGGAGACGTTCCCGTTGACGACAAGGCGCCTACGGTGACTTCGTAAATCTCAAGATGATATGCCGGCTCAGTCTCTCGGAGGTGCTCATAGGGGTAAGGTGTGCGTGTGTGCGTTCGTAGGGATGGGTGTATGCGCGTGTATATGAGCGCTTGTGTTTGTACTGATGCTAAAAAAAAACATCAAATCAAGCATCACGACCATTGACTCGCTTCTTACGGTATAAAAAGATTGTTTTAAAAAAAATCGTTCCATTGCCCCGTCCCTCGCCGGCGCGCACATGTTTCTTTTCAAGTTGCAGGCCCGTTGGCGCCGCCGCGTTTTATACTGTTTCCCGTCACATGGCCGCACCACCATCTTCCTTGCCTTGGTCCGCTCCCTGCCATTAGACACCCCTCCAGTAGCCTACCACTCTCCCAGCGCTGAGCAATGCATATGCATTGACCGGTTGACTGACCCTCTCCTCCCCCGCTCTCCGTCAGTCCCTCGCTCGTTGTCCCTGCGCCTGCAGCTCCTTCCACTGTTGCCGCGCGCGTGCCGTCCGTCCGCGAGGTACTTTTCCCGTGCTCCGTGGGCTTTCATGTGAGTGAGCGATGAGTGCGCGCGATCTTAATTTGACTGTGCCGTGAGCTAGATTAGTCGTTTTGTCAGATGCTTGGTGACGGCAGTGCTTTCCATTCGAATGGAATGGGACAGAGGATCTGGATCGTAGCGATTCCGGGGCTGTTCTTTTGGAAAGTTCAGTTCAGAATCAGATGGCCTGAATGTTAGCCTCAGAGATTTGCACATCTCATTTCCTCATTACTTTTGCGTTTGTTTGTTTGATTCTTTTGGTTTCTCTGGAGTAGGCGCGCACAAGGTACCACTAGAATCTCAGGTTCGTTTTAACCTTTTATACAACTACTACTAGTACTTTTTTCCGTGTCTTCCCTTTATCTGAAATTCTGAATATATATATGCTCTCTCCAGTAGTGTCTTGAAAAGAAAGTGACGGCACCTTCTTCAGTAGCCCAGGAACAGTGACAGTAAATTGTGTTCATCAGCTGCATTCCTCAGTAATTAATTACTGCCGCGTGCAACAATCGCTGGCATCGTTTGAGTAATGCTTATATCACAATCTTGCCAGGTAACGACAGTCCAAAATGGAGAATCCTGGGAAGGACCACGAAGATGCGCTCAAGGATGTTGAATTCAGGGAGCAACATGGTCGTGTGGATCTCAACCGGCTTTTGGAAATAGCAAACACTGAGAGAGGCGCTTTTCAAATGCAGTCCTTTGTGAAGCAGTGGGAATACAAGAGGGCCAACACTGCCCGGCTCCTGAATGAAGAGCTCGCTCGTCTTTCTGAGCAGCGAAAGGAGATTGAGCAAAAGAAGCAACAAATGCTAGAGGAGGAACGTCACAATGCCCTGAAGTGTTCGAGCCAAGAGAGCAGTGACCTTTCTCATGACCAGGAGCTTGAAGATGATGCAGAGTATGACACTGTTTCCTACTGGAAATGGCGAGCGCTGCGGTCGGAGAAAGCGCACGAGGCAGACCTGCAAAGGGAGCGTTCCTTGGAGGAGAAGCTGGAGGAGTATATGAAGAAATTTCAGTCAGAAACACCGGTGGAAGAATTCTCTGCGGTATTAAAACACGCCGATTATTTCTTGCACCTGATTCTCCAAAGTTCTCCCGTTGTAATTGCTCATCAGGTCTGCCTTTATGCATTTCGACACCTTTTACAGCTTCCTATATTTCTATGTACATTTAGGTGGCATTCTAGAGCATTCGCAAAAAAAATGGTGGCATTCCAGAGAAACAGCAAAGCCAAATGAGGGAGCGGTTACATGAAATTTGATGATATGGTAATAATAACAATTTCTTTCTTCTTTTCAGGATGCTGAGTTGCGGTACCGCTACATATTTAATCACTTTCCGACACTGGCAGATGAGGTGAATGCATTTGCCGCTGATTTTTTCCACTCCACATTGTGTGCTGCTCCTTAATCTTGAACTTCAAGTTGTAATTTTTGGCTGACTCACAATTTGTTTTCAGGATGTTATTGGTAAAACAGACCATGAGATATTGTCAGGAGAGGGGATAGACGAGATGAATAAGGTCAAGAGAGAGGTTATGGCCAAGGGTATACCGACTAAAAGAGAGTTTGTATTTGATACTCCATTGTTTGGACCAAAGACCTTTGTGGTATACATCGAACCGGTCTTCAGCAAGTCTGGGGAAACAATTGGTGTGAATTATGTTGCAATGGACATCACAGACCAGGTAATTTGTTAAATTGAATTCTCTCATATATCTGTTTCTTTAATTTCCGTTGCTTCAAAATCTACAGAATACTAAGATTTATTATGGTCCCAGCTTTATTCTGAAACTGATTATGTGCTTCTTTGTTTCCCTTGTTTCCTTTACACAATTGTACACTTTTTTCTCCAGTGAAAATAGCGTCGTCATCCTTGTTGGTCTCCATTAATAAACTAGCATCGTCATCCTTGTTGGTCTCCATGAATAAAACAGTGTTGCCATCCTTGTTGGTCTTCATGATTTCAGCTTTGATAGTGCGCATGAAAAGCATTGTTCAGTGATCTTATAAACTACTAATTGAGTTTGAGGGTATTTTCCACAAGAGCCGAGATACTATTTTCATTTAAAAATAATTCCCCAAACTGATCGCATTTCATACACTGCATCTGCATGTTGTTCCACATTGAAATTACATCTTAATTCTACTCTTCTGAATTGTATCTACTTCAATGCGCTTTAGGTGAAAACAAGAGAGAAAATGACAGACATAAGGGTGAGGGAAGCTGTTCAAAAAGCCAAGGAAACAGAGCATAGCAGATCACTTAATATTATAGGTTTGCATGTTGTACATTTTACTCTAGTATTGATTTATTGCATTTAGGTTCAGAATGGTACACTGAGTACTCCCACTTATCTAACAATGCAGAGGAAACAACGCAAGCAGCACAAACGCTAGCCACAATGTCACATGAGATCAGATCTCCCCTTTCAGAAGTCCTTAGCATTGCCGAAATTCTCGCAACTACCAAACTGGATCAAGAACAACATCAGTTGCTGGAGGTTACGTTATCCGCTGGAAATGCTGTGTTACAGTTGATCGATGGCATCCTTGGTCTCTCCAAAGTAGAGTCAGGTATTTAAATCATACAATATTTAAGTGAAATCATTTTTCTGTTGATTAGTTAAATTGTTGGATTTCCTAGATACCTGCAACTGGCCTAGCGCATCACTAACTTGACAATTGGTTGGTAATTAGTACTGATTCAGTTCTTTTAATGCAAAGGCACAACAACACTGGTTGATGATTAGTAACAATGTTGACTAATTTTAATATGGTACGGGCCCTGGCCCATATATCTAATAGTTACGTGTAGCAAATAAGTCAAGAATGAGGTTTTCCAAGTGGAGATGAGTTTTAAGATTCGTTTCAGAAATATCTCAAAAGTCGGTCGTGCATTAGTATTTGTTCCTCTAATTGTTAGTGCATTAATTAGTATATGTGCCAAACATGCTTGATATATCTGAAGTAGATTTTTTTCCTACCTTCATTATTTCAGGAGTTATGAAACTACAGCCTGCAATATTTAGACCAAGGGAAATAGTTAAACATGTACTCCAAACTGCATCGTCATTTATGAAGAAGGAATTGATACTTGAAGGGTGCATAGGTGATGATGTTCCATCAGAGGTACTGACAATTATCCATATTTTGTTGCATGCTTTTTTGTTTGTATTGATCAGGTCTACATTAATGTTTTTGCAACTTGAATCCAATTGCCTTAAGAAATTATATAAGTAACTGTTAGGAGAGATTGTTGGCAGTCCAGGGATTCAGCTGACTTACAAATGATATAGTTACCTAAGTTTTTTCAATGTCTCTATAGGTCATAGCTGATGCGCAAAAGATTCAGGAAATTCTGAGATACTTGATCAGGTGAGCTTCCATTTCATTTATTCCCAAGACATACTGGCCTTCTTAAGAGGTTTAATAAAGATAATGAACAGACATGCTTGGATATAGTACGAAACATATGTTTGATGATATTTTACATTTGAAACAGTTTCAGCAATGCGGTGAAGTTTACACATGAAGGGAAGGTTGGGATAAACCTTAATATTGTAGATAAGCAGCAACTGGAATGCAAAATAGAACATACAAGCCCAGTTAACACTGCAACAGAATATTATGCTGCCTGGCCAAGCCATAGCGGTAAAGATGCCTCGAGTTGCTCAAACCGTGAAGATGCTCATCAGAATGGCATTCCATCAAATGAAAATTGTACGGAGGAAACTGTTTGGCTTCGCTTCGATGTTTATGACACTGGAATGGGGATACCAGGTTTTTGCTGATACTTTTGATATACATCTGCATGATCATAGTTTGCATGTTTCACTTGACAGGGAAACATTTATGGTTTCTGGAATATGTTTCTGATTCATTTTTGCTGGTTCTTTTGGCTTATGATCATCTGCAGAGAAGTCATTACCTTTTCTGTTCAAGAGGTATATTCATGCCAATGGTGATCATACAACAAAATATGGTGGGACAGGGCTTGGCCTTGCTGTCTGCAAGCAGTTGGTATGTATTTGTTCAGTTTGAATCCTTGGACCTCAAGATAGCATTGAGATATTATTAAGGTGTTTCTGCCTTTGTATGTGTAAAAATTGTGTATCAGTTATCTGATTTTCACAATGATTCAGGTGGACTTGATGGGCGGTACTCTCACTGTGATTAGTAAAGAGAATGAAGGGTCAACATTTTCAGTCATGCTGCCTTGCACAATTCCTGCAAGAGAAGCGCAGTGATGCTCCTGACAATGGGCAAAACTCCTGTACCAGAACTTTCTGGGAGTACTACATTTTTTCTGACTGCTGAAATACCAGCTTTTGAAAAGGCAAAGATGTTTCAGGGCTGAAAGCATGAGTAGTAGTATAAGCTAAAGAATGTGATTTACAGTTTCCTTGTTTTGTTAGATCAGCCAGGGTGTTGATTTATTGCTTCATATCAGCAATTAGTACATGTATGTAATCAAGAATCAGGAAAACATACAAATAAATTGCAATTCCAAGATTTGTAGAAAAATAATAAGGAGAAGGATGCCCAAACCTACAGATTTGTCATTAACACTTAGCACTACAGGTTGCCATTGGGTCATTCTGTCATGTAATGTGTATATACAAAAATGCAAATTTTAAAGGCTTACACAGAAGAGATATAACTGTGACATACAGATGTAAGATTTCTGAACCAGAGTAAAACAGTACTGCCTATCAGTCCATGATAAGGTGTCATCTTATTCTACTTCTAAGAAGACTTGTCGCGCCAAATGCGGGACACCTCGTCCAATACCTCCTTCAAAATCAGCGGGCAGCTAGCTACGAGATGCTTGAATCCGTCGGTTAACATGACCGGGCCAAGCATGTCCGGCGAGGCCATGAATCTGATGCAGGCTCCTCGCAGCTGCGAGCAGTGGTGTTGCTCTGCTAAAGCCAGGGTGGTTGACACTGTTTCCACATCAATTGCATCGCTCAGCTTCCTTTCACACAGCAGCCTTAGCCTGTCGACGCCGTACCGATCCGCGGCGACCAGCATGTGCTGCATAGCCGCAGCTTTCCCATCTTTGCAGTTATCAGGAAGGGTGTCTGTGTAGATGAAGTGAAGAAGCGCCTCGAATATCATAGGCTCCATGTCGTCTATCTTGATGCACTCTGTGGCATTTTCTCTGAGCGGGCCAAAGAGCTCTGCTCTGAAGACAGGGGAGCGGAAGGCCAAAACACACCTGTGAGCATGGAACAATTGGCCACACACAGTGAACGTCACATCGGCGCCTTCCCCGTCCTGCAGCATGTTCCCGAAATCCTGGTGCAGATTCGACGGCGGAACCACGATCGAATTGGTCTCGACGTCCTGGGTGCGGGACTCTTTGGTGACGGTGAGCAGGCACCTGATGGTGAGGCAGTCGTTCTCGAGGAACGGCGAGCCCTTGATCTTGGACTTCTCGATGAACTTGATGAAGCCCCAATTGTCACTCGCCGGAGAGAATGTGTGCTTCATATAGGAGTTGGTTACCTGGGACAGCCGGCCGTCGTTCTCGATCAGGTTGAGGGTGAACCTGGCCCTGACGTCCTTTTCGCGGCTGAAGTAGTAGAGGAAGGCGGAGGCGTTGCCGAGGCAGTTGGCGGTGGAGCCGTCCGGGTAGAACCTGACGGCCCAGTCGAGGCCGCCGACGGTGAAGGTGCTGGAGCTGACGAAGCGGCCGACGCCCATGCCGTCGAGCAGCGAGTAGCCCGTGACCCGGAAGTCGTGGACGGCGGTGACCGAGTCCGTCACGCTCATCGACGACGTCTTGGGCAGGCAGTGGCCCGGCGCGACGGCGGGGAATTCGCGGTGATCACCCATGGAAGGAGGAGCAGGGGGCGACAGGCCGATGATTATCAGCGGAGGGGTTTCTGGAGGCTGGAGTCGACGAGGGCATTGCAGGGCCGCGCGGATCGGTCCCGATGGCCTCAGCGGCGCGCCCCGGCGGCGGATCGGCGGGCGTCGGGGGAGACGACCATCGGGGGACCGGTCGGGGGAGGATCCGGGGAGGTAGGGGCGGAAGTGAATCCCCCTCCCGCTTGACGGGAAGCTGGGCCTCGGATCGCCCCCTGCGCGCGCCGGAGCGGGGGGAATCGGGGTCGCGGCGGCCGGCGGTGGCGGAGACGGCGGAGCAGAGGAAAACCCCGGAAACCGAACGGAAATTGCCTGCCCCAGTCCAAACCCCTGCCACCTCGGTTTTATTCCGCCCGTGCCCTTTTAAAGCCCGGGAGCCCTAATGGGCCGAGGGCCCGCGCAGCCTTGGCGACGAGGGAACGCCGCTGGTGGTGCGCTCCTAGCGCACAGCGGAGGCGGCGTGGAGGCTCGTGATTTGCTTTCGGTCTCTGCGGTGCGCCCCGGATGGACTTGTTCTTCTCGAGGGGGGATTTTATAGCGTGGAGGGAGGAGGCTGCGGCCAAGGGGCCTCACGTGCCTATCTCGTGGGATAATGCATCGTCTAGAGTATCTTTCCATAGGAGGGTGCCCATTAATTGTGTCCCTAGATAGAAACACAATTAATGCATGCTACACAATTCGAATGGCCTGCGTCTTTAGAAGATAGGTCTCGATTAATGCATGCATGATTAATTGTTTTTCTAGATAGGATATGTCTTTCCCCGCAGAAAAAGATAGGATGAGATAGGATGTACTCAGTGACGTCTATATTAGTTTGAGGATGGGCAATAATTGTTTTCTAGAACAAAATATAAATTATATTATCCGCAAAAAAATCGGGTTTTTTGGGGGAAAGTTCTGGATTTGATGTTAGTAAGGGTCATATCTTTTTGAAGGGTAATAAGGGCCATATATGTGGTACGGTAACTCTATCAACACCTTTTAGACCATCCATCACATATATCTTGGCAAGTAATTAATAAAAAAAAAAGGCATGTGGTAACATAGTATGTTACTCATACTATGGGTACGTAACATCACGTGTACCAAGACAAGATGAGTCTACAACCTAACAAATAAAGTGTTGCATGCCACCATACATATGTTACTTCTCACTATAATGATAGTAACACTATAGTGTTACTAGTCTAAATTACTCCCCACTATGAGTAGTCTTCGAAAGTTGCGGCCACGGGGCCTAGGTGCCCATCTCATGCATTGTATCATACTATTGTATCCAAGAGACATCCTATTTAATGTGCTTTTAAGATAAATTATGAAATAACTTGCATTTGATGTCAGTAGAGCAATCTCTAAAACTAGTACAGTAACTCTCTGTTTTCTCATTAAATAGGATGCCAAATCAGAATTTTACTTTGAGGACATCATTTTTTTCTTCAATAGGGCACACACGTGGATGTTCATGGTTTGTTTTCTCTCTTGGCGTGCCAAAATTACATTGCAAGAGCGGCGACTTGTTCTCAAGGCGATTGTTGGGATGGGGGCATCGAATCTTCTAGGAAGCTGCATCCGCGGGCCGTGAAGTCTATCATGTAGGTTAATGCATCATATCTCGAGTTCTATCTAGAAACATAATTAATGCATACAACACGACTTCAATGACGTGTATCTTAGTCAGATAACTCTCATGCATACACATTTAGTTTATTGTCTAGATAGGATGTCTTCTGCAAAAAAGTTATCTTGATGTGTATCCACTAGTGCAGAATCCTGCTATGAAGACACGCCTATCACACACCCTCGGTGACGATGCAATACACTAGGGGTGGCTTTTCGGAGGGGAGCCTAACAATAGGCCTACCACGGGGCACATACGACCCAAATGGAGCCCAATCACAGGAGGGAGCCCGGAGGCCCGGATAGGGCTCGAGAATCATCTTCGTGAGCAAGCCAAGCTGACGGTGGCGCAAAATCAGGGGAACCCCCATGTAAACCCTAGCCCATGTCGTCTATATACTGCGAGGCTAGGGATAGTCTTTCCCATCTACAGCCGTAGTCTATACTCTAGGTCGTAAACACCATCTCCATTGTGAATCCTCATACGAGGAACTCCATCATGAATATAGATGAGAAGCAGGACGTAGGGTATTACCATTCCCAGAGAGCCTGAACCTGGGTAACCGCCTTGTGTGAACTCCTTTTGGCACTTTCGACCATGTTTCCAACCGTACCAAGGGTACTGATGGTTCTACGTACCGTTAGTTGGCGCGCCAGGAAGGGGCTGCGCTGGCTGAAGATCGAGTCCAGATCGGATCTCCCATCGCTTCTGGAGGCCACCTGCTGGGAGAGAGCCTCACTTTCAGCTCCTTCACCTTCACCGTGGATAGGGGGTTTGGGTCGACGTCAATTTGCCCCGCCCCCACTCTCGCACCACCTTATTCGTGTCGCTAGCGCTCATCATCAACCGCTACAATGACCTACGTTTGTGCATTCCTCCACCGCCAACAAGTCGCATATGCTGCCTCATTGGAATCTAACTTGTCTACACTGGCAACCTGCAATTCAGAGGACATAGACCTCAAGTCAAGGGACTTGATTTTGAGATGGGACCACTCCTTCAACTTCACAAACTACCACCAGCCTGCCCCGATGTCACTATGTCTACCACACAACTTGTTCTTGTAGATTCGTGTTGGGCCTCCAAGCGTAGAGTTTTGTAGTACAGTAGGAAATTCCCTCAAGTGGATGACCTAAGGTTTATCAATCGGTGGGAGGTGTAGGATGAAGTTGGTCTCTCTCAAACAACCCTACAACCAAATAATAAAAAAACTCTTGTATCCCCAACACACCAAATACAATGGTAAATTGTATAGGTGATGACCTAAGGTTTATCAATCGGTGGGAGGTGTAGGATGAAGTTGGTCTCTCTCAAACAACCCTACAACCAAATAATAAAAAAACTCTTGTATCCCCAACACACCAAATACAATGGTAAATTGTATAGGTGCACTAGTTCGGCGAAGAGATGGTGATACAAGTGTAATATGGATAGTAGATATTTGATTTTTGTAATAGTAATAATAAAAAACAGCAAGGTAGCAAGTAACAAAAGTGAGCAGATGGTATTGCAATGCTTGAAAACAAGGACCAGGGTCCATAATTTCGCTAGTGCAATCTCTCAACAATGCTAATCTAATTGTACCATATAACCATCCCTCAACGTGTGATGAAGAATCACTCCAACATTCTTATCTAGTGGAGAACATAAGAAGGAATTGTTTATAGGGTACGAAACCACTTCAAAGCTATTCTTTCCGATCAATCTATCCTAGAGTTTATACTAAAATAACATCAAGCTATTCTTTTCGATCAATCTAACCAAGAGTTCGTACCAAAATAATACCATATGATACACATCAACCAACTCTAATGTCACCTAGATACTCCAATGTCACCGCGAGTATCCGTGAGTTGATTATACAATTTCAGATTCATAATAATCAATCCAACACAAACACTACTAGAGAAAAGCTTACCAGTAGCGCTGGTTTTTGTGCTACCAGTAGCGCGGGCACCAGCGCTACTGCTACGGCGCTACAACTATTTTGTAGCAGTAGCGCGTTTTTAGGCCAGCGCCACTGGTAAGTTCAAGTACTAGTAGCGCATTTTTAGGCCAGCACTACTGCTAACATTTATGTTTTTTTAGCATTTTGGCGATGTACATGTTTAAACATGTATATCTTTTATACAATAACAACTCATCATGAACTAGTCTGTTTAAATAGCATATTCATTACCACTTGTCATCACCACCAAACAATGTTCGTCAATGAGACATCATATAAGAAGTTGGTCACTAGTCATAATCATAACTCCTCCTCCTCATCATCAACTCTAACACATTGTACCACATAATAACACATTCTAGCTATGACCTACTCCTCTCATAGGACCTACTCTACCCTCTCTTAGGTAAAATATCATAAAACAAGATAGGCATTGACTCTCCATTAAGGAAAATTAACTCTCCATAATAAAGAACGGAGATCATCCTGTCTCCAAGTCTTGTCCTACGCATAATGTTGCTTCCAAGTAGCTCTCTACGATGGTTCAAACATTTTTTTGAAATCATTTATTATCATGGCTTCCTCGCTTATAGAAATCCGGTATGGACAGGAGTGATGTGGATACTGCGGCTGACCTGGCCGTGGTGGCCGTAAGCTCATAACATTAACGCGACCTCTCGGCAACATCAGATGAGGCACACAATCCATCGGGATTTTCTGTTCAAAAACATAGTAATAACTTTGTATTTAGCAATGTAGTTTAGTTTTAGAAGAATTTATGCAAAAGATGCACGGATGTTGTAATAGTAGAAAATCTTACCATGATATCTCCATTGATGTTACCGTAGTTCAACACGTGCACTAGTGGCATGTATTGACCATAATGTGGAGGAGTTTGATAATAGCTATTGTAATTCTCAAGATTAGTAAAAAATGCGATAAGACCATCTTGCTCCTTATAAGTTAATTGTGCTTCATCATTGTAGTAGTAGGTTCTGTCTACCATTTTCCGTACATTTGTTGAAGAATGAAAATAAGCTGTCAATGGAAATAAGCTATCAAATATTTTGTAATAAACAATATAAATTACTTAGTAAATATGTTTAAGAAACTCACACAGCGGTAGAACTGGAAGCGTGTCAACAAGGACCCAAATGGTCATATCATTTTCGTCGATGTCAGGATCACCAAGATCGAAGGTGAGAAGCATACCCTCATGAAAATCATACACCTTGCAAAGGGCTTCCCAATTCAGGTAACCAAAATTGGATGAGTTCACATAATTGTATAGATTTACAGCAAAATCATAACCATGATGGGTCCTTAGTTGAATTATCTTTGTCTCCATTCTTTCATGATCTTCAAAACCCATCTTCTCCAAGACATAGCGTATTTCATGGC